AGAGAGAGAGAGAGAGAGAGAGAGAGAGAGAGAGAGAGAGAGAGAGACAGAGGGAGAGCTGTGAGGGAAACCCTCACCAAAGGCAGTCAAACCTGGAAAGAGCTAGAAAACACAGAAGGAAAGAGCTCCTGGGATTGATTACAGATTTTTTTTGGGAAAATAAAAACACCCGTATGTAGGGGAAATACAAGCAAGAAAGAAGAAAACCCCAAACCAGGAAAATTCAAACACCTGGCAAAGACTCCTTTCTGAATTATGAATATAATGTTGGAAGTCGATCAACTGAAGCCAATAAACTGGGGACAACAATAAGTGAGATCAATAAGGACAATGTGTCACTGGATATAGTGAAAAATAAAATTAACAGAGAAAGAGGAACAAATTAAATACAAAGACTAGAGCAAGATTGACACAGGTTTTCGAACAACACTGGGAGAGATTGAAGACACACACACACACACATACACACATGTACATATCCACATACACACACACACATACACACATGTACATATCCACATACACACACATACACACATGTACATATCCACATACACACATGTACATATCCACATACACACACACGTACACACATGTACATATCCACATACACACATGTACATATCTACATACATACACAAAAATGATACAACATGTATATCCAGCCAAATCCTCAATCAAAGTTGAGGATACAAGCACTGTAAGGCTAGACATCTGGTCCCACGAGAGCTTACACCTGAAACATACATGAAAAGAATACACATAAAGTGAATAAAGAGAGATAAAAAGCAATTTCAGGAAGACTCTGTGATATAAAGAACAGGAAAATCAATAATTGACCAAGAACTTTAAAAATTAAAGAATATCTTGAGAACACACACAAAAAATTATATTCAAACGACATTCAGAACATTCTAGAATTAAAAATATAGGCAAGTAAATGAAGAGATAAATAGATAAAGTTGGGAGGTTACATGAGTAGATCTTAGGTCTAACCATAAAAGCAGACAGTGTGAATAGGATCTGTCATGTAGTTTTTATATCAAAAGAAAAAGACTTGTTTATAAAGTTAAAAATGAGGCTGGAGAAGATGGAGAAAAGTAAAGAAAATTAAATTTAAAAAGTAAAATAAAACAGCAGCAATACCTGACTGCATCACTATTAAAAAATTAAGACAAATACCAAAGCATCACAGACTATATTTAACAGTATAAAAATGTTTCAACCAAAAATGTTGTCCAAATAAATTCCAACAAAATTATTCAGAAATATTAAAAAATAAAAAGCAGAAAATATAGACGAGGTAAATATGAGCCCAAACTAAGATGTGATAGTATTCTAAGAATCTGTCAAAATATAATGTGGAGAAAAATATGGTGTAGTGATGAGCAGATTTGTTCAAGATTTCACTTTGGGTTACCTAGAAAATGAGCCAACTGGAGTCAGCTCCAAGAACCTCTTTTCTGCCAGGAGAAGAAACTGCAAGGCAGCTCAGCTTCCTGTGGGACCACAGCCCCTCCCCTCCAATCAAAGGACATCTGATAGTAGATAGTTGCTATAAAGAGTGATCGCACCATTCCAAAATGCCTAAGAACCACATGGTCTGCGTCTCCTATCATTCATAAATCTACACGCACCATTCTCTGTGGAAGAATTCAATGAGGGATTCAACTCATCTTCCAGGGAGAGAGACGTCTGCTCAGGTGAGGGTCCTTGCATCCCTTTCCATAAAAGGTGATCTCGTTGTCTCTTCCTGGCTGCTACCTTCGGGAGATGTGCCTTTACCATGTGTTTACCATGAACCAGATGGTCTCACAGAACATGCTTAGAGCATTGCTGCTACAACAGGGAGGATAGTTTTATGGAGGGGGGAGAACTCATGAATCTAGTTTGCCTAAAAGAGGAAAGGGAACCAAAAGGATGTTGTATATTTAAAAGGAAAACACTACCAGTGCAAGATATCATTAAGACTATGTGGTTCTGACGTCTTAAAGATGAATAAGTAAGTTGACTCCTATAAATGATTTCTGATTGTTATTTTTATTGGTAATAGTGTTTTGTTGTTTTACTTTTGGCAACATAACAACAGGAGAGGAGGTAAGGATAGGTTTTGTAGACAAACTCTACGTGTTAAAAAGAGAAGAAATAGCCATGATAAAAATAGAAATTATTTTTAAATTGAATTATTGTAATGAACTAAAAGAGAATATATTTTAATATGTATATAAAGTGGTTAAATTGTCAGAAATATTCAATGTATTAAAATTCATGACAAGTTGGATGAATGAATGTTTTATTTGAATTTTAAATGATAACGAAAGTTCTCTCTTTTCAGCAAATACCATCCGATCATGGCTTTAGATACTTTATGATACTTTCTATCCCAAAGAGATAGAGGGTAAAAATTATCCAACTTCATATATATACATACATATATATATATATATATATTTCTAAAACAGTATAGCCAGCTGAAGCTGACATAATATCCATAATATCAATAAATTGCTCTGTCTTGAGTCCTGGGATTAAAGATATGTGCCACCACTGTCTGGCCTCTAGTGGCTTAGCTGTGCACTCTGATCTTCAGGCAGGCTTCATTTGTTAAAACACAAACAAAATACCATTGTACCCTTTACTCCATTTAAAGTACTTAAACCTGGCCAAAAAATAAATGAATGTTGAGGCCCAACTTTTGATGATGAGAATGAGATTCCAATGTGGGGCCTTCCCATTTAAAAAGCCTATACTACTGATTATTATAGTGTATCATTGTTCTTCCATGAACTTCAGGAGAAATCACTTTTATCCTGACTACTAATAGACTGTAGAGATGCAGGAGAAATTTCCATCGTAACTCCATCCAAATGTTGTACCTGACTATAGCATTCCTGGTTTCAAGAGCATTCCTGCTTAGGGAGTCATAGACCAGTGTTCAGCTCCAAGGACATTGGGGATGACAACATGCGCCTCATACTGTAACATGACAGGGGCCGTCTTGTTGGGGCTTCTGTCCCGCCCGGTACCCCAACAGCTGGCAAATCCCAAAGAGAAATTACACACAGGACTCCATTAGGTTATGAACTGATTGGCCCATTGGGTCAGGCTTCTTATTAGTCCTTGTAACTTATATTAATCCATTATCATTATCTATGTTAGCCATAATGGCTCAGTACCTTTTCCAGCGGGGGCAGCTTACATGTTGCTTCTTCAGTGATCTGCGCAGGAGTGGCTGAAGAACTTTCTTGCTTCCCAGAATTCTCCTGTTCTCATTGCATCACCTCTACTTCCTGTCTGGTTTTCCCACCTATACTTCCTGCCTGGCCAATCAGCGTTTTATTAAAATATGATTGACAGAATACAGACAATTCTCCCACATCATTATACTCTGCTGGAAAACATCCCTTTCATGCTACACATTATGTACGACAACAGTAACTAGTTTACTTAGCCTTGAGTGCTTTCCCTTTAAAGTTGTAAATAGGAATCCTCTTCATTTTCTCTTCCAACATGAACATGGAAGACTTAGCTAATGCTATCAGAAGAGAAAAATAATTATTCACTCTTCTAATTATCAGTCAACAGACAAAATACTTAAACTAAAAATGACATTTGATGAGTTACTTAGAATATTTTATCACCATCACCAGTGTAGTAGAAAACCAAATAAATTAGCCCTGATTTATAATAAATCTGAGAATCAGAAAGGTGCTAGGCCTGAACATAACCAATACTCTCCATGTAGTCATGGATGACATCTTAAATGCTGATTTAAGCACACAGAAGTCAGAAAGAAATAGATACAGCATGCCCTTAGTTAATTAAAAAAATACAGAGTCAATAATGCTCAAATTATCTAGGTCAGGGCAATCCTTATAAAGTGGTCAGTGAAGTATTTGAGAAACTTGATAAACTTAACAAGTTTATGTGGGAACATTAAAAGGCCGCATGTATCCAAATTAATAGTGAAATGGAAGGTTAGGGAAAAAGAAACCTGCCATATCAAGTGTGCAAAAATGCTTCAAAGTTGCATTTGCAAAGATATTGTTAATGGTCTTAAAACATATACATAGTTTAGCTAATAATGGGGTTGACTAATAATTAATCATCCACTTGCTTGAAATATATATGGAGAATAGAATAGGTGGGAAGGAATAGATGATGTAATGGTTTGGGTCAAGAAACTGCCAGAATAGAAGCATATATAAAGGGAATTTGGGTGGATTGAGAATTTAAGTGATGAATTTAAATAAATCAAAACACAAACCTATTCTAAGAACATGATAAATGCATTTAGTAGATGAAAAACTGAGAGAAGATAACAGCAATATATAACCATGGCAAGGGATTTATTCCTAGAATTCACGAGGAGCTCCAAGAAGTCAACAAAACATCATAATTCTTAAGAAAAATGGGAAAGGATAAGAATAAGCAGTTTCAGCAAATCGAGCCTCCACAAGTACGTAACAAGTTCCTGAGTATGGAAAGTGAGCAGACGACTCAATCTGTACGGTGCTCGGCTTGAAGGCATGAAGATATGAGTTCCATCCCTAGAACCCGTGTGAAAAAGACACAGTGGCTTGTTTCTGTAATTCCAGTTACAGGGAGGTGGAGAAAAGTGGATCCCTGAGGCTTGCTTACCAATAAGTTAATCAGAATTATTTGGTAAGTTCCAGACCTGTGAGAGGCCCAGTCTCAAAACAAGTTGTAAGGCACCTGACAATATCTAAGGATTGGACTGGCCTCCACAAATGCACAAGCAAGCAAACACACACACACACACACACACACACACACACACACCTGCACATACACAAAACAGCTTCAGAATTATGTTAATTGTTAGGGCTACATGATGGTTAACTGCTATCTTATACTTACTATATTAATAGAATTTTTAATGCTGGAAACAGTAAATCTGTTGAGGATGAAGGAGATCATCCTCAAAGAACACCCAGCAGTGGTTATTGAGATGATAGTATGTGAATATACACTTTGCATAAATGCATATAGACTATAAATATATATATATAATATAAATATATATAAATATATAGACTATAAATCTACCTATCCATATCTATCCAGCTATCTATCTAATATATCTATCAATTAATCTATCTACCTATTCTTACTTTATATAAATATATAGGCTATAAATCTACCTATCCATATTTATCCAACTATCAATCCATCTATCTATTCTTTCAATAATTTTTTTTCCTAAATTTACATTCTGAGGATTTTCTCACATAAGTGACAAGGGACATTCATGATAGTGCTAATCACAGTACATTTCGTGAACTGTGGTTATTAAATATCTATCCGAACCTAAGTGTGTGTAACTGAGACCCCAGTAGCTCTAAGTTGTAGGAATTTAAGATAAGATGAGTGGACTACCCACAGGCACGGGCTGCTCACAGGCAGTGCTGTGAAGTATTTCCTACAAACTAAAGAACGGAGACTCCCCAAGACTCAAAAAGTAATGGGATTTACAAAATAAAGGAACCTCTGCAATTTATTCGACTCACAAGTGTATTCCCATAATCATACAAATAGTAAGAATTTGGAGAGGTTCTCAGGCCTGTCGCTACTGTCTGAAATAAAGAAGCTACAGGGAGGGGAGTAGAGAAAAATGTAGAGCTCAATAAAAATCAATAAAAAGAAGCTACAGGGATAGAGTTTCATGGGTCATCTATGCTGGTTTTGAACCTTCAGGTGACTCAGTTACATTTATGGTATCCATGCTCCTGTAACACACCCTTATAAAGGTACTGCTTCACCAAGCCGGAGTAGGGTGGGATTATTTCTTTAGTCTGTTGTGGGTGTCCTATTTTATGCTAATAGTTGCTTGCTTATTAATGTTTCCCAAGGAAAAGTGACATGCAGCAGACAGATAAAGAGACAGACTGGTGGAGAATGAGAGAAGAATGGGCAGGAGGGATGGAAGATGGAAGAGAACAAAGAAGTGGGACAAGAGGGAGAAGGAGAGGGAAAAGGGGTGGGAAGGAGGGTAGGAAGAAAGGAGAAAGAGAGAGAAAACACAGACATATTATCTGTTAACTATGAAACTGCATCAAGAGAATAACCTGCAGACATAAGAGACTGATCATACAAAACTATGATTCTATGATTCCCAGACATAGCAAATAACAATCCTACTTGGTGAGTTAGATTTAAATTTCAGCAACAAATAACTTCTGCCACAAATATATGTATATGTTTAGTACAAAAACATTGCATACAATGTTTGAGGCATACTGAAGAACCATTCAAGTGTGTGATAGCTGTTGGTTCTATTATAACTCTGCATTTTATGTCCCAACCTGACACCCAACAAAAGATAACCATCTTTGAATGGCTTGCCTTTTGAGAGAAGGAGAAAGGCCCATGATCACAAACAGAATGGATGAGACTAAGCATGCAAACTAAGAAATCAAAGCCAAATAGAGCTACACATGACCAGTGATGATAAAAGCTATGTAGTAAGAACAACTGATAGCTACTTTTGAGACTAACAAGAGGAAAGTTTAGGGCAATTCTTGTGCACAAAAGATTCTGCCACCAGTAAATAGGAGCTTTGTGGATATTGTGAGGTGAAACATTACTGGCCATGAGATTCCTAGTAAATTAAAAATGGTATTATCACAATGCTGAATAGCTAATTGTTTTCAGATTAGAAAATAAATCATTTTTATTCTAAAATGTCCATTGTTAATAAATGAAAAATACTTTAAAAAAATTCAGATGTATTATTCAATTAAAATCCACACTGTCTTTTAACATATAAAGTAAGATGATCTCAGAGAAAACATGAGTAGTGAATAGAGATGGATCCTCAGTGTCCTGCAGTTATCATTTACAGAAAATTCCCTCAGCCTAAATAAACAAGGCTCTTGAAGTGATGAAGCTTTGAGCACATCATAAAACCCTGTCATAGGATCACTGTCAGCCTCCTCATCTTATTTGATCACAAGCACAGTTTGCTTAGGTCCAACATGACGAATTATTGGTAAGTTGCTAGTGTTGGCTTCATACACACTTAGAAGCAGATGAATTTCACAGGATTAGTTGGCTCACAGGGAAAGCGAAGTAAACAAACTGCAGAAATCCTGGTGAGATGTTTGCCTCTTTTGCTTAGTTAAAATAGTCCTTGGGTACCAGGGGTGCAGTCTGGTAATAGAGAGCTTGCCTGCCCTACAAAAGATCCAAGATTCAGTGCTCAGCAGCACAAGAGCAAACACAACAAACTGGACCCAACTATGAAGCATCTCTGTTCATTTGTTATAAACTGAAATGTTGGTCTTAGTGAGAAACGAGAGGAAAAGCCAATACTAACGCCGCAGTCCTTTAAATCACTCACATCATGCTCAGGGAAGACCCGCTGCTTTTCTCTTTAGTTATCTTGCCAATTGTTCCTAAGCTTATTCTAAACGCCTCCAAAACAGATGAGCAGAACTCACAGTCCCGCTTTGCCCCACTTCTATACTGTCTCTGTTCCTACTGCTGGTGTCCCACATTGCTTTCTGTTGCTAAGATAAATACCATGACCAACCACAACTTAAACGAGGAAAGGTTTATTTGGCTTATACCTTCAGGTCAGAGACCATGGCTAAATGAAACCAAATATGAATTGAAGCAGAAACCATGGGGGAGTTCTGCTTTCTGGCTCACTCAATGGATCACCCTCTGTCTTCTGCTCAACTAACTCATTTTTTTTTATACACGCCAGGGCCATCTACCTAGAGCTAGTACTGCCCACAAGGGGCTGAAGCTTACCACATCAAATCCCTACAGTCTCTCGCAGACATAGCCACAGATCAATCTAGTCTGGGCAATCGATCCCTCTATTGAGACACCCTCAGAGATGTCAAGATGACAGCCGTAGTTAACTAGAACACTCCACTCCTTGTCAACTTGACACACAACACATCACTTTAAGCTATAACCTTTCATTTCTTGTCTCCAAGATCTCATGTTGATATCAAAATATAAAACGCAGTACAACCTTGAAAATCCCATTGCTTTAAAAGTTCAATGTCTGATATAAAAACCTCCAAAGTCTCTTTTCTGTGGGCTCCTGAAAAATAGTAAAAGAAAGAGGTTGCATAATATTTTTATTCCAAAAGAGAGGAATCAAGGCATAACAACCATTGGGTTAGCAAATGTCCATTTCCAACAGTATTAACTGAATACTGTAGCTCAATGTCTCCCATCTGGAACTTCCTCATGATATTCTATGTTCCAAAGGCAGGCCTATTGTGAAGTCGACACAGCTTGCCTCATAGACTGGGACCTCCAGCCTCAGCCCTCGGTGCATGTCCTATGCCTTGGCATCTACAATATTCTGATGACTTCACTACAGCTGAGGCTGCACATCCACCATGGACTGTAAAAGGAGTTGTGGCCACTTCCCACCTCTCGGCTAGCTTTACCCAAAATAATTACATGAAAACTGCATTCATTTAAACACGGCCTGGCCCATTATATCTAGCCTATTCTTGGCTAACTCTCACATCTTAATTTCAACCCATTTCTAATAATCTGTGTAACACCACGAGGAGGTGGCTTACCAGGAAAGATTCAGCATGTCTGACCTGGCGGCTGGCTCCATGGTGTCTGCCTCATTGCCTTCTTCCCAGCATTCTATTCTGTTTACTCCACCCACCTATGTTCTGACCTATCAGACCAAGCAGTTTTTTTATTAACCAATGAAAGTAACACATAGACAGATGACCCTCCTACATCAGGGGACATCCCTTGGCTTCTCTTCAATAACTTTGACCCTTACACAGAGTGCCAGACTTCAGCTTATCACCAGGACCTCCTCATTGTTGTATCATTCATGCCTCCAAGAGCAATATCAGGTGATCAATACACATTGCTAAGTTAGGCAACAAGTTTGAGATGCATGCAGCCTTAGCTACCGCTAGACCACCGCTTCTATAGGCTGACCCTGAGGAAATATTACCTGAAATAGATTACATTAATGATGTTGATCTTTTAATAATAAGGGTTGATTCTTCAGCACCCAGATGACCAGTATCCATTGTCTTAACTTCAGTGGTACTTATCTCGTGTTAACTATAGCTTCTTGTTGTTGGGGGGAGGTGTCTTTTCGAGAAAGAATTTCACTGTAGCTTTTGGAGCTTGTCCTGGAACTAACTCTTGTAAACCAGGCTGACCTAGAACTTCCAGAGATCTACCTCCTGAGTACGGGGATTAAAGATGTGCGCCACCATTGCTCGACTCAATTACAGCTTCTTTTTTAAAAAAATGATTTTTATTGAGCTCTATATTTTTCTCTTCTTCCATCCTTGCCTGCCTCTCCCTTTATAGCTTCTTTATTCACTAACTCATCGAGAGTCATAGAGTCTTAACATAAAATCTCAGACAAATGTTCCTAAGTGTTTTGACTTCCCTCTGAAACTTCACGAGCAAAGCTTCGATTGTTTGCATTTTTTTTCAGCATTCTTGTTTTCCAAGCTTAGTTCCCTAATATTAAGCTCTGAGTACTTAACCAAGTTTTCAGCTTAAGTTCCGAATGCTTCCACAGACCTCCCCAAATACAACTTGGTCAGGTCTATCTCAGTAGCTTCCCACTTCTGTAAACAATTTATTTTCAAGTTTGCATTTCTGTTGCTGTAGTAAACACCATGCGCAAAAGCAAGCTATGTTAGAAAAGGATTTATGTTCACTTTTACGTCCAGGTTACAAAGAAAGCATAAAGGGATGCAGATGGTGGCTTATTCTCTTGCTTTCTATCAGGATTATGCTGATTTATAGATTTCTTTTATAATTTAGAAATCTTATATAGATTTCTTATATAATGTAAGACCAGATCCCTGGAGATGGTAATGTTTCCAATGCTCTGGACCCTCCCACTTCAACCATCAATCGAGACAGTGTCACATAGACATGGCTATAAGCCAGTCTGATCTTGGAAATCTCTCAATCAAGACACCCTCAGTTGGCTCTAGTCTGTGCCATACCAACAGATGAATCTAAGTATGACGGCTTGTAAGGTCTATTTCTAGAATGCAAAATTTGTGTCTTTGTTTTCTGACTTATACTCTAGAATTTATCACTAGACTTTTTATGCACATCAGAAGAAAAAGCAAGATCTTTGAGTCAATTTCATAGTTTCATAATAACTGCTGTGAAGGTTCTTATATCAGCCTCTCCGAATTTAGTGACTTCAGCGAAGCAATAAGTTATTGTGCTGATTGTTTTAAGATTGGAGCTCTGATTATCCAGAGCTTCACATAGATGGTAAGGTCTTACCTTTCTAAACTGCACCTTCCCAGGCACTAATCAATAGGATATTTGTTTTGTTCAATAAATGAAGGGATGATGACTTTCTTAAATTTTTTTTCTACTATAGTTCTTCTAAGGAAGATCATCGAAAGACTCAATTGCCAGATGAGACTATTTTAAGTTCATTTCATTTCATTAGCTCAAAGCCTTGTATGCTTTATTGTCTGCAATGTGTAACAACAACAAACAAGATGGTCTTGAGATTGTGAGAAGTTATACTGTAGGGTGGTGATGAATATAAATAATGAGTAGACAAAATTCACATAGGTCAAATATCGATAAGTAAGTGATACTTTAAAAACGTTTTTATGATAAAACATATCATGTGCACAGAGGAAGTTGGCTATTTGTTGTTTTATTTCCCCTATTTACATATATGTGGCAGAAATTCCTTGTTCACTGTCTTAGTTTCTGCTACATTGAACTGGGTTGGCGGTCTTCCTCTAGAAAGAGCCACAGAAGAAATGAGTTAGCTCATGCGAACCATGTGGCCTCTGCTATGCTTCTCAGCTCTGAACCTGGAGGCCAAAAGCAACCACAGATAATTATGAGCAGGCAGACCTGGCTGCATTCCATCACAACTTTATGGTGTGCACCAATCCTTGACTTTCACTGCATTTTTATATGTCACTAAATAATAATATTTGTTTTCAACCATTTAAAAATATAAGAGCATTCCTAGTTGATCTACTGTAGGCAAGAGAAGACAGGCTGCCTTTAGGCTAAAGCTTCAGCGACAGCAGTTTCTCAAACTTTACAATAGGTCAAAATTCTTTCTGGCTTGTAGACAGTTAGAAGTTGGTCTGAGACGGAGCTCCAAGGTTCTAAGCACTGGTATGATAGACCTGGACTAGTATGCTACCTGACAGCATACATACAGGCAGCATAACACAGACTGAAAAATCTAGGAAGACATGTGTATATTCATTTACATGTGTGTATATAATAACACTAGGATAAAAAAGAGGCCATGAATTTGGAAAGAAGGGAGAAGCATAGAGAAAGGATTGAAAGTAGAAAAGGCAAGGGAGGACTGTTGTAATTAAATACAATCTCAAAAATATAAAAAAGGAAATAAGAAAAAGTAAGTAAATAAAGAAATAGAATCTTGAAATTGACAATATGGACACATGAAGACAGTTCTTCTAATATACAAAAGAAATTACCATAGAGGTAGCCTTTGCCCTGGGACAAGACAAATGCCACTATTTTCTCCTTAAAGTTCTGTTTTGCTTGGTGTATTTTAGATAAATATTACATGTTGAATAATTTTTAAAAACACAAAATTTAGACTAAATTAAATCAAATTGAGCAGGACAGTAAGGAGGATATTGAGAAGCTACTGAACTGGTATGTATTTTCAAAATAATTGCCAGCCTAGGAAATATGCTCAAGACAGTGGTTGACAAAAAGTTGGAATAGACAGAGTGCATATTCAACACCCCTACACTTGCAGACATACCTCAAAGAAAACAAACCCATACGATGCTTCTAAGGCTTGTATTTGTGGAGCAGAATGCTTGTATTTTTAACCTTTTTCTTTCTTCATATATTCAGTTTTCCACTGTAAATGGGTATTATTCTCACACCAGAGGAAAAGATAATAGCTTTAGGCAGGCTGAGGGAATAAATAAGAAACTAAAGTATGCCAATATTACCCCACATTGCTTTCTATGAGACGTGCCCTAGTCAATGCACAGATGTGCACAGGCCTTTGGCCTTGACAGAATTGGGTAGTATTATTCCAGTCAATGTCAGAAAATTTTCCAGTCAAGTCTAAGTTTAGGAGGAAGCCAAATTTTCCCCTAAGACCAGGTGACTACACAAAACAGGGCCCTAACTGCCCTTCAGTGAGAATGGGAGGCACCTATTCTTGTTCATTCAGGGAACATACTGGAGACATGCATTAAAGAGACAATTTTTATATGATAAATATCATGACTCTGGATGTTTTGTGAGCATCTCCTCAGTAGTCAGGCTTCACATTACTGATATTCAGGGAACACAGTACGTACACTGTGCTCATTTGGAGGGCTTCTGTAACTTGACTATGCTTGTCCTACATGGGACCACATGGAAGAATGGTAAGGTACCTGAGCCTGTGAGGAATCTCAGTATCACCCTTCAGCCTGGGGAAGGATTTGGTTCTATTTGTGATAGTAAATACGCTTGATTACAGAGTGATTTGTTAGAAAGCTTTTTCCTCGTCTGACTTAATCCTCCCCTCATCATCTTGTGGAGGAGACGGACAATGTCTCCTAAGAGACTACTTGGAGTAAAGTGGCCCTGTCGCCTGCCTAGGTACCCAGTCCACAAATGGCTGAGTGTACGGTAGAAGTTGAGTCATTTTTTGGCCCAATTCTCTTTGCGATTGACCTCCCTGTTGATTTTGTAAAGGGCGTAAACACAGGGCCAGCTGACAGACAGCTAGATTTGTTAGGACATTTCACTTTGTCTCAAGTTAAAATCCTCCGCAGTTGTTTGGATCCAACATTGAATCCATTATAAATGAAGCAGGAACCGAAGTAAACTAGGGCACATTTAGCCCTGATGTTATGTGTCAAAATACCATTTGGATCTGTCTATTTAAATCTACATTCTAGGATTTTTCGCAACAAAGAATAAATAAATACAAGCATTCTTGAGCAGACTGCTTCGTGAACTTGGAAGTTAGATTTTTGTGATTGTGTATCCTGATTACTATTCCAACCTTTCCTTTTGATCTTCTCAGATAAATGCTACTTTTTTCTAGAAAATGCTGTTGAAGCTGCTACTGTATTATGACTTTGATATGTTAGATTTCCTGGTTGGTTCTTATTTCCCTAGTATATTTTACATTTAAGGGTCTTTGAGAAATAATCTTTTCATTTGCAAAGTTCCAATTACAGATTTTTAATAAAAAGGGGTGTGGTCAGACTTATTTGTTATTGTAGACTGGGTAAAGATCCATTAGTAAATTAATCTGAAATTACTTTGCTCACAAAGGAAGAGTTATAAATCAAGAAACCCAAGGTTACCATAGCAATATGTGGCATCAAAAGATTAGACGCAGAGGACTATATTTTACTTTCTAAAAACACTTCATTAGAGGAAAGATATATGATATGACTTCAGGGCAGAACATGACAATGAAAGTAGGTCCTCACTTAGCAAAAATGTTCTCATTTTCCCCCAACTAAAAATAATGCCAGAGTAATTTGGACAATTTTTATCACAAATGTGCATAACATTTCTATTTGATATTTATTCAATAAGAGGAGTTTAAGAGTATTACATTTTAAGCTAA